GGAAAACTCGGTGCTAGACAAATTCTCCCACGCCAGCAGATTCCCACCGTGGGAAAAGGAGTCCCAGGGCACCTCCCATTTCTTTAGGTTGCAACAAACATATGAAAAGCCAGAATGGCACAAACAAAAATCAGGAGGAGGTGTTTTGCCAGGCACTTCACAAGAGGAGGATCAAACAAAGAGCCACAGCTACCTCAGGAATACTAGCACTGAGCTGACGTGCTACAGGTGTGCAGGAACCAGCACTGCTGGGATGAGAACCCCAGTCACCCTGTCGGCTCTTCCTTAATTCCACAGTGGGGGAAGAGGCATCTCCTGGCGCTGGGGAGGACCCCCAGCCCCTGGGCGCAGGAGGCTGGGCGATAGCACAGTGCCAGACTGACACCTGGAGGGAGAGCCAAGCATGAGCACAGGGACAGGGTGCTCACAGGGGACAGACATGCCCCTGCCTCTGGGGAGTCACCCACCCCCCAACTGCCTGGCATCCCGTTAGCACCCACCTGCCACACCGAGCCTCCTCTGGTCCAGCTGCAGCACTGGTGGGGCAGGTCTGCCAGAAACAGGGAAACTAGGGAGGAAAAAGTGTTTCAATGCCTTAAAAATCAACACCAAGAATATTTCCACTTTTTCAGTTTTGAAATTTAACAACCTTTTTTTTTCTGCTCGCACTTTGTCATGAGTAGTTGAGATATTTCATTTGGATAATTCTTCTTCTAAGTCATTTGTCCCCTGCTGCTCCTTGAAAGAGCCAGCAGAACAGAGCGAGCATAAAAAGATCCTGTCAGTACCAGAGAGCTGATACTATACAGTACAAATAAACTTGCTGTTCTGCCCTAGGTTTTCCAAAAAAAAGCAGGTAAACAGTGGCTACAGGGCTATATTTTGTGTGCCTAAACAGGGCATGGTAGAGGCAGGCTGCTGCCGAGAGGAGAAGGGAACTCAGCAGGGCACAGTTGGGGTTAACAAGAAGCAGTTTGGCTCATCTGTGATCCCCCTGGAAAGCCTTCCCCACCTTTGGCTGCAGAGGTGATTTTAGCTTCAACAGAAAAGTAAGGAACCTCGAAGGCACATTCATCTTTACTCCCAATTAAGCTTATCTGCCAGTAAAATTAGGGATACAGTATAGGAATTAGGGCAAGCTACTTACTTACCCAAGAAGGTCAATTTAGGTCAAAGCTATCTTGCACAGATGGCTAATTTCAATCACTTACGCATACAACACAATTGTTCAATAAGCTCAAAATAAATAGTGTAAGTAATTAATTTAAAGCTGCCCTAATTGTTTCTCAATTTTCCCTATTAATTTAACCTATAACACTTCTGCTATCAAAGCTTCAAAGCTTTAACTTAACAGCCAATTAAAGCTTCTTTTATTAAAAAAAAGTGCTGTCAGCTCCGATTCCTTCTGACTGAACTCTTTGAAGCACTTGGGATTCCATTTAAATTGCACAGGGCACGGAAACAAAGTGTTTTTTCCAGGTATAATGTTCTCAGTGAGCTAATGATTCAATGGACAATTAAGACTAATTACGGTTTTAACTTGGTAGCAACTTTCTAAGCAGTATTTGGCTTGAGGAAAGTGAGTCACCACTCCAGCGAGCAATGAATCTCCTCATTTATCAGCAGGAGCTGGCAGGAACGTGCCTTCCCCAGCTCGGTTTCACCGTGGCAGCAAGGGGCTCCTCGCGACAGGCAGTGCTCACTCACCTGAATTAGCGTGGCAGCTACATTCTTACTGCTTTAAGTGCATGTGTCTGCATAAACATAGATTATCTCCCCCATTCTCCAGCTGAGTGCTGCAAAGAAAAAAGCCAGTAGGGCGCTTGTTAGGAAAAAAGATTGCCCCCACGTAGATACCATTCCTGTTAGATTGGTCCCGCTAGTTCAGAGATTTTAGCTTCCAAGGGCACCAGGTTGACCAAAACAGGACAGTTTCCTATTTTTAGCACAGCTGATATAGGTCAGCTGGAAACGGAACTGTTATTCCACCACAGAACAGGAACAGTCAGCCTATGAATTATTTCCCTTCTGAGCAAGCTCCCAGATAACACCCTCGTGGCCTCCTAACATTTTGTTTTCGGGAAGGTCTGGCATTCCCAGTCCTCCTGCGACCCCGTCACGTGGGAGACTCGCCGAGCCACCTCCCGAGCATCGGCCAACCTTTCTCCTCTCAGCACCACACTCCTCAAGGAGTTCCATTACACAACTCCTCAAGGTGTTTGATTACACCCTGCTTCCCTGTGTACCTGACACAGCTCTGCTGTCTGCGGAAGGGACATCCTGTGTCCAGCCTAAATATAGCCAGCAGGACGAGCCCAGTCTCTCCCCTCCTGTCAAAAGAACTATGCCTAGGGATCTGCTTTCAGAATGCATTTTCTCCGTGTATCTTTCCTAAATCATTCTTATCAATTTCATTAATAGCAAGTTCAGGTGGAGGGAAAAAAGAGAGAGAGAGAAGCCACATGGAAAGGAAGAGAGAAAGTAAGTGAAACAGGAATGAACCCTTCAGAGATATGCTTCAGATACACCCCGGAAAGGTAAGAACACAAGGCAGTTTCTTGAAGCTAAGCCTGCTGAATTATTACTATGAACACAATTCCTCTGGGTAACTCTCCAAAATCCTGTGGTACACGCAGGAGAAAAACATCCCCGGCACGCAGAACAGCTGAGAAGGAGGGAGAGGGCATGAGAAACTGTCAGCAGGTCTGTGGAGGCAGGAGGGATTCAGTTTTCAGAGCCCTGGCATTAAGAAATCTCAGTGAATGATTGATTAGGAGGGATATTTAAGACGAAAACCAACTTAACTCGGGCAACCAAATGGTGCGATGTGGAAATTTGGGGGTGATGTAGCACAGCTGGTTAGATCTAGGATTTGAACACCTGGTCTTTACTGTCATTCTCCATTTCCAACGCCCATCACCCTGCCTCTTGTACCTCACAGTACAGACCTCTCTGCCCTGGGAAAATCCTTCACACCATCCTGGAGGAATGCTCTCACCTTTTGTTTCAGGAGACAAAAGACCTTCAAGGAATTCTGCATGGCACATTCCTGGAGGGGAGGGGCAGGTGAATGAGGATTACCATTCAGCACATGTAATTGAAAACGAGAGCCAGATGATACCTAGCGAATAATTTCTTTTTCCCTTTCTTTTTTTTTAAATTAGGAAAAAAATAAATCTAAAAGCAACTGGCAAACAAACACAACTTGCCCAGGTTCCTTCCAACCCAAACCATTCTATGATTCTGTGATCATTACCTCAATTAACCAGGGATTGCTCTCGCAAGGTTCCAGAACAACTCCCACAGGTGATGATAACCCTCAGCACATTTTCATTTCACACATCTGCTTCTGGCCTCTATTCTAGAAAGGTCTGTGTTGTTCAGGTCTATCTGACGGAAACGGCCATCTTTCCCAAAGAAATACATTCCCAAAAAGTTTCTCAGAGATAAACACCATTTCATTTTAGGCAAAATTCTCTGCCGTGGCAGTAAGGTAACAGCCTATTGTGTATTTTAAGTTAGGGGAGCAGTAACTGGTGGATTAGCCCTGCCCCTGCGGAAGGCCACCCAGCAGCGCTGCATTTTGCACCACTTCCACCCACAGGATCACAGAACATTCATGGTTGAAAGGGACCTTTCACAGAATGACATGGGGTTGGAAGGGACCTCTGGAGATCATCTCCTCCAATCCTCTGCCAAAGCAGGTCTACCCATAGCAGGTCCCACAGGAACGTGTCCAGGTGGGTTTGGAATGTCTCCAGAGAAGGAGACTCCACCACCTCTCTGGGCAGCCTCTGCCAGGGCTCTGCCACCCTCACACCAAACAAGTTCCTCCTCATGTTTTGGTGGAACTTCCCATGTTCCAGTTTGTGCCCGTTCCTTCTTGTCCTGTCCCTGGGCACCACTGGGAAAAGCCTGGCCCCATCCTCCTGACACCCACCCTTGAAGTATTTATGGGCGTTGATCAGATCCCCCCTCAGCCTTCTCTTCTCCAGACTGAACAGCCCCAAGTCCTTCAGCCTTTCCTCAGCAGAGGAATGGTCCAGACCCCTCATCATCTTTGATTAGGACCTTTGAGATCAAGTCCAACCACAAAAAAACCCAACCAAAAACCAATCCTGGGCACTAGAGCATGCGCTGAGGTGTCACGTCTACATGTTTCTTAAATCCCTCCAGGGATGGTGACTCCACCACCTCCCTGGGCAGCTGTTCCAGTGCCTGACCACTCCCTCAGGAAAGTCATTCTTCCTCAGATCTAATCTAAACCTCCCCTGCCCCAACTTCAGACCATTTCCTCTGCTCCTGTCATTATTCCCTTGGGAGCAGAGGCCAACCCCCACCTCTCTACACCCTCCTCTCAGGGAGCTGCAGAGGGCCATGAGGTCTCTCCTCAGCCTCCTCTAAACGGAACACGCCCCGTTCCCTCAGCTCCCGCACTCAGGGCTCTGGGGACATACCCCCGGCTCTGGCTGTTCACCCCGCATTCGGACAAACGGAACACGCCCCGTTCCCTCAGCTCCTGCACTCAGGGCTCTGGGGACATACCCCCCGGCCCTGGCTGTTCACCCCACATTCGGAATCCCCGCTTATGCGAGCCGGGTTTACCCCCGGGAGGCCTCGTCAGCCACAGCCTCCCCGAGGGCTGCTCCGGTCCTGGCGGGGCGGTGCGTGCCCGCG